GAATAAATTATTGGCACCGACACAAAGAGACATTGATTATATTTGCACTCTTTTTTTATAAAAAAGACTACAAAATCATTTTATACATAATATTAATTTTAAACTTTAGAATTTAAAACATTAACATAAACATTTTTAATTAAAAATTATAAATTTATATTCAAATTAAATGGTTCTCATATGAAGAGAATCATGTATCATAAAAAAATTTTATTTTTTGAAGAAAGGAGGCAAAATATTTAACATTGTTTTTTAAAAGAATATATGAGAGAAATGTGTAAGTTCATATGCGTGTCCACTTACGTTGTTAAGACATTGTTCATTTAAATTGACATATATTGATTAATATATGTGAAGATACATGAGCCATGTTAAATCCTTGTATTCACTTTCCACGCCGGTGTTCATTTCAAGTACAACTGTCCTGGCCTATCGTTATTTTGGAAGGGCCCAGGTTTGCGGACACGCAGTGTCGACAAACGGACAGCAATACCGGGAGTGGCAACGATGGTGGAATCCGCGCCCCGTTGCTCTCGGCGGTAGTCATAAATTGAATACTAATTGACACATTGCGAGGCGCACCCGTTGTATTTCATGCGTTCAACTTTCATCGCGCCGGCCACTGTGTTTAAATGGCGACACATATGCGCGAGGATATAAATTTGTGGATAAATACGCACGACAGCCGGTTAATGCGAGCCGAGTTCCACTCTTGATTCTCCGCACCCTCCAGCCGGCTACGCGGCCGTTCGTACCCCCGCCATCTGAATCAATACCTACTTGTTTACTGGACCGTTGCCAACGGGATTTCACCGAACCGACGATCGTACAATCCTAATTAATTTCATCCTTTGTTGCGACCCTTAGTACTCGCCGGTGATAATATGCGATTGTTGAAGACGTGAGAACACCGTGACTTCGCTAAACGTGACTCCTCTCTGGAGAAACTAATTATTAAGGAGCTACTTCTTATTTCTCTCTCAATCTGACTCGCCACCTTCCAGTTTAACTTGCAGCTGCTTGGAGTTTGGAAGCGATAGTCTTTCATTGACTTCGCAAGGATCGGCAGGCTTCTAGTTTGATTAAGACTGAATAATAATAATTCAATTAACTTTGAAGATTCAGAAATTCCCGAAAGCATTGGACATTCAAGCGTTGATAGGATATTGATAAGGGGATGCAAACAATGTTAGATTAATGGAACACGTCATGAAGCGTAATACAATACGAAGTCAGTTATCGTCGGATAACTGTCTTGCTTTATCCTTTAGCATTATCGATAAAATTTATGCGTCTAACCAGAGTATTGTTCCATGGTAATTGGTAAATCTCTCTCGTAGAATTAGATATATTAAATTACGAGGGTCGTTAAAGGGTGGTGATCAGATTTATTGCCGATGCAGAGAGGGATGAGCATATTATACCCTATTACCGCAGATAAGAGCGAGTCGAAAGCAGACACCGATATTTCATGGTAATACTTATAGTCTTCTTTGGACAAAGTCTTATGCAGTAAATTACTATGATCCAATGGCTTCTTTATATACATTTTTCAAGCACAGGAATATTTAATCCTGTGCAAATTTAATAAAAAATTAAATAAGATTATTCAAATATTAATTAAAATCTCACGTCTTCTTTCTTCTTTTTTTTAATCTTGATATTTGTTGATTATTAAAATATAACGAATAATTATTTTATACTTTCCAAAATTATAAAATAGCGAAGATACGAGAGAAAAAAAAGGAAAAGAGAAGAAAAAAAGCATTCCATCGCGATGCATCTGATCAAAAAAAATCACGAAATATAGTATTTGAAAGCTTCGTTGCCTAGTTTTGCGAGTAAGGATGAAAAGAACTAGTGGATGAGAATATATCGGTTTCTGTTAACGAATAGCGGGGTAATCGAAGCGATCGCATAGAATGACGAGTGCGTTCAGTGGTTCTAAATTTGTCACATCGCTCTCACTCTGAAACGAATTTATTCGCTTCTTTTTCCGTTTCGTGCCTCCACTATTTGGCTTAAGTGTGCGATTGGACGTAATTTCCCGCGGTTGGTTAATTAAATGGCTCTCGCAAATTTTATTTCTTTTATTCATTATATTAAAAAAAAATTACGATTTTCGCTAACGTATTATGCAATAATAATATATTCGCTGCGTCTTAAAAATAAAACAAATTGACTCTTGAATATTTTCATAATTTAACTTTAAGACTTCCTAATTTGCAAATGCTTCGTATATGTGATAATGCTACAGTAAGTTGGCACAACCACATGTTATGTAAAGCTGCATGTATTTTATTTCGTTTGGTGCCCACAATGAAAAAATGTTTAATGCGAAACTTACAGACTGTGCCGTGAAAATTTATTTGCGGCAAAAAAACCGAGATATGCACGTTGTTACAAGGCGTACCATTGTAATGCCAAATATTTTTTACGTTTCATACGCTTTATCAAAGCATTCTCGTATAAATTGTACAAATGCAATGAGTGTATAGGGAATAATTGCATTATCGAAGCAAATTGGAAAATTATATCTGACAAAATTGATCAGCTTGTTGTGAATGTAACATATACATACTGCTCTTTCATCTTTGAATTTTAATATTACATATATTTAAATGCTTAATACAAGTAAATGTTTGGAGCAGCGATAAAAACAATCAATTTATTAATGCTTAATTAATTTAATTTATTATTTAAATTTTATTTTATTTGAGTTTGCCTTGACCTTTTGATTACTAATCTTTGATATATTTTAAAAGTAATTTTCTTTATTTATAATAATTTGTAAATTGAAAAAATGCTCTATTTAACTACTTCTAAAAGCACAAATTTCCATAACATTTACCTGCAACATAAACTTTATCAGGTTTCCTTAGTTACATTAGGTTTCTCTCTGGTAAACAGGCACGATGGAGCGCGAAATCGAGGAAGCATTAAACTATTAGCTGCCGATTCATGCGTGAGAGTAGGCGGTAGGTTCGAGCTTATTCCGAAATTGACTGTAATCCTTCGTACATGATATAAAATAAAGTAATCCTAACCATACGTTGGGACAAGAAAAATCCATATATATTTATAAAACTCTTACGAAAGAAAGAAAAAAGAAATATCTTTTATATATATATATATATATATATATATATATATATATTGTATTTATATGACAAAGAAAAAATATTTTTTTGTTGTTCTTTAATAGATATATTTATTTATGTAATATATGGATATATAAATTAAATTTTGTAATCAGATAACTCAAAATTCTTTTTTTATCTAACAATTTGAATTATAACCGTGATTTTTAAAGATAATAACTTATATAATGTAATTAAAATTGATAAAAAATAATTACAATAATGTCAAATTGGAAGATAAAACATGTGCAATTATTTTATTACAAATTTTTCTAAAAAGAAGTAATAAACGGCAGCAATGATATGTGTTCATATTATCTACGTATGATTTTCGACATTTACAAATCCAAAGAAAAGAGATCTCTTTTGCACTGAAAATAAAGTTACACAATTAATCGTTAGCCTCTTTTCTCGAGAGAGCTATGGAGGAAGGTGAAAGCGACGAAAATGAAGGAAACGAAGAATGTACTCGAGTACACAACATGAGCTTCTGGTTATATTGGTTTAATCGGTCCTTCTCACTTAGCTTTTGCTTCTTCTCTGTAATCCTCGAAACAAAGTCCCTAAAGATGAAGTAGGAAGTTCATTGGACACTCGCTATACTTTCGTTCTCGAACTTGATAGGAACTTTGTTCGTAACCAATTTTCTTTCCTTCGGTGCTATTATAGAACAATCTATTTATTGAAATTGGAAAATACAACTTAACTTTCTGATCGTAAAGAAAATACTTTTAATATTTTATAATACATTTTAATTTTTAATTCTTTTTTTTTGTATATCATATGCAAAGATATCATAATATAAATTTATATATATTATATAATTTTAATGTTATTATATTAAAAGTATTTTAATACATCAGATTAAATTTTACTATCTTATTTTATTAATTAACATAATTTATTTACTAAAGAGATTACGTAAGTTAAATTTAATTTAATTTAATTAAAATTTAAGTAGATAAAAGTATATACTTTGCACATTTATAATAAAATGATTATCTTTTATTTGTAAATAAAATTACAATTTTTAGAAATATTTAAAAAAATAATTTTACAATAAAGTTTATATCATTTTAATAATATATTTACAATATGCTTTATACATATGTAAAATGATATACGAGATTTATTAAATTTTTTTATTATATTTGCAACAAAGGTATTTTATTAAAAAAATTGTTTAAGAATATCGTATGTTATTTTTAATTTGTATGTTAACATAGAGGGAAATTATTTTTTTTGACAAAATATTTCTATTTTATATTCTCAAAAATTTTTCTAAGATGCAATTAGATCCTCTCGATATATTTCTTTATCTTTATCAGAGTTCATGACTTAAGACGGAGTTACATTAGACTGGTCGCGCCAAGAAGTCGAAGTGCACTGCAATCATTCTTCAATTAGCACTCCGAAGCTTTTTAAACTATTAAACTATTAACTTTTTTTATAAAAGGTAGAATCTTTATGGAAGAGATGACATCAAATATTATTGTATATAAAATATTTGAATATACTTTGCACAGTGTAGAATTATAAATAAAATCAAGAAAATGCAATTATAATTAAGTAATGCTTTTTTAAATACAAGTTTCAACATTAATAAATTATTCTTTATTAAATAAAAAAAACGTACATGACGTATAAAACACATAAGGCAAACGTTTATAAAATGTACATATACGCAGCGACGTACATACATAAATCTTTTACAATAAAAAAATTTAACTTTGCAAATGTCTGTGGTTTGTAAATTGAATCCATATAATCGTTACAATGCATCTATCCATTTTCGTGTGATACCATTCAGAGAACGAGAAATATGGTGACATATTCCTGGTAAGAATCCATTCGGGGAACATGGGAGACCTTTTCAATTCGGTATATGGTAGTAATTTCTTATCTGCACCTACTATGTCGCACACCGACGATATCTACGCGGAGGTAAAGTCACCGACATTGTGATTGCGATTTATACAGATTCTGTCGATTCGATTCTGAGGTCATTCAAAATTATTCACTATATCGTGCCTTTATAAAGTAGTATTGACAGTGATGTATGGATCTATTTGAATATATCGGCTAATCATTTGTGGCAAATGTAATGGTATATTTGTTTTATTTTAAATAAATTTTCAAATTTTTGTAGTATCTATTAAAGTAATAAATACGAATAATTATTTCTATTTAAACTTATTAGAAGGATTAAATTTTATTTTCCAAACATAAAAAATTATTTAGTGTTAAGAAATATTTTCTTTATAAAACACATCTTATTTATAAAAAATTTTGATGTTATTCTGTAAATGTGTTAATATACATTTATTTATATTGCATAAAAAAGAAATCTTTTTGTGTTTTAATTTAAGTCATTAATTATGTTTAATGAAAAATTTATAAATTTGCTTTAATATTCTTTTATAATAAGCCATCTATGAATCATATATTATATATTCATAATACATAATATAACATATTTTATGTTTCATTATGTGTTTTATGTAAATTCTTTTTTCTGTTTGTATTCATTATTTGATATAATCTGTTTTGAATAAATTTTGGTCTGTCTTTTGTTTGACAATTATAAAATATCGATAAAGTATTTTGCTTTTACCTTTGTTAGATATTTCGTTGGACTTGAGAACCAATGCTGAAGAAGAAAAGGATAAGGAAAAGAATGTGGAAATGGTGCAAGATACTCGAGACTTCAGTCGAGGTGCTGATGTCGCTGAGCTGAGATTTATCGGTTTCCTGAATCATGGCGACGTGGCTGTCGAAGGCAGTCTAATTGATTTTTCCGCCCTCACCCTCACCGCCGTTCTACAGAATTTTATAGCTCAATGTGAAACTTGCCGCTCAGCGCGCCTTCGTACCGTGTAACCCTTCTGGGAAAACTCATCCTGCCAATAAGAATTTAGCCAACCGAGTAAAGACGGTGTCTTCTTCTACGAACTTGTTATAACTTATATATGTAAAAAAGTATATTCTTGCAGTGACATGTGAATAATATCACTCCATTTCATACAAAAGTATTTTTATTTGAATTCTTATTTTAATTGTAATCGTTTTATATTTTTTTGTAAATCAAATTTAATTTCAGCTCTTTTGTCAACGAATCTAAATGTATATATTGTAGAACAGAAAGTTTTAAGAGTATATATTATGTACATTTAAAATTTTATAATCTAAATAAAATCAATTTATATATAGGTATATATTAGGTAAACACGTTAATCATTGCATTGGATAATCTTTGTGAATTTTTACATTCTCATTTACATTCTCGGAATTAATGTATGTATGATATTTATGCAATATATTCCTTTCATATATTTATAAAATATAAATACATTTACATATTACCAAAATCAAAATTATTAAGTTCACACATACATTACATTATTATTTAATGATAGGCTTAAATACTCGTGGACCATCATTATTATACCGGAGAGTGTGCCAAAATAAAGCATATATATTTAATAATAATTTATTTGTAACGAGCATACGATTAAAATACGCTGGTGTTAGCATCTGTTACCACTGTTCGTTAATTCCGGATCAATATCTGTATGCTCATTTATTATTAACGTTATTGTAATTACGCGGTCGTGATCGGGCGAACTTATCCGGGGATCCGTACAGACACACGTCTTTTGGTTGAGCTAATGTGTTCTCTTGAATCCCCGGAATCAAGGTATATAAGCTGAGCAACCTACAACCATCGCCGACAGGCCGGTTGGCATGAGATAGTGTGTGTACGCGCGCTTTTGACGCGCGTTGGTGTAAGCACCAGTCCTGATGGGTAATCGATTTTCATTAATGGACGTCGCTTGCGTAACACAGAATTTCAGCGGGCGACCCGAAAGAGAGATGGGAAACTTCTGTCGCAACGGTGTCCTCATCAAGGCTGATAATGTATCATGCTATAAAGATAATTTAGAGATGTGCTATTTTAATTGATAATTTTTAGAAGCGTTAAATGAATAATAACGTACGTGTTAATTTTTAATAAATAGCTAAAAAATCTAGTTAGCTTAATCTTTCAAAGAGAAAAAGTTATACTATATTAATCTCATCTAATAAAAAATCTTTGATCGAAAATTACTATATTACTATAATTGATAGAAAATTACTATAATTGATAGAAAATTACTATATTATTTGATATATTTATTTATTATGCTTTATCATTGCTTTACTATTTACTTATTTGAGTTAAAATTAGGGTAAGATTTATTAGGATTTAAAATAAAGGTTCGATTAATTTTTTATTTCTGCTGTATTTTGTTTTATAACATGGATATTGTTAAATTGTTAAATTAGGATTCTTATACATATATTGAGATAAAACTTTTAATATTCATTTAATTATTTTTAATTTGTTACTAATAATTATAAGAATTAGTTGTTACTGGAAATATTTTATATTGATAATTGTATAATATTTTGTAATTAATTCTTAGTCGTATGTATACTGGATATTAATTAAAACAGAAATTCTATTTGACGTTTCGCATAATAACTGTACAGCGCGCAGCTGCATATTTGACGAGATGTAAATTATACTGGTAGAAAACAATTATTTACGAGTCTGACACTTCACGATTCCGTTTGAATTTAGCATCGAAAAATATTATTAGTTTAGTTTTATTTCAAAGCGCATCATGCTTAGCAAAATCTCCCTTTAATAAAATTTATTATATATTTTAAAAATAAACAAAAAAGAATTAAATATGTAGTTACCCATTACCATTTAATTTTTTACATGTAATTTAAATAAAATTTGAATGTTACTAATTATTTCACGTACAATATTTATGAAATTGGGACAGGCTATCAATTACAGTGAACAATGCATGTTTTATAAGAAAATTTAAAATCAATATATTTATAAGAAGAACAATATTTTTGCGACGTATATAATTATTATTCATTTTTTAATTATTATTTTTATACATATATTTATTGTAAAAATATTTGTAGGAACGTCTTTCTGGATTAAAAAGATTTAAAATAGAAATATTGTATGAATAATACTACATTGTAGAATTTGACGTACAAATCGCAGAAGAGTATTATGAACGGTACGTGACATCCCTTTATAACACTATCTGGACATCCGGGTCAGTTGGTCGGCTATGCGATATCCGAGCTTTTACGATCCATTGAAAAAAAAAGATACCGTATGTGCATCGATTCTGTGGCGGCCGCAAGCGGCGACGGATGCTCACCCACGAAATTCTGACAGCGCCCCAACTCATTAAACGAGTGACATCGTAGCTGAGTTTTATGTTTCTCTGACGGTGACATCGGTCGTTCGGCTGTTCATATCCTCCGTGCTAGGTGCGCGATTCTCTTTCTGCCACAATGAAACATTCATGTCTTTTGTACGGGAATCATAAAATTGGCATTAACCTACTAGGCGTTTGTGTCCACTTGCGTGGAGCTTTTCGTGGAGATTATCAGTTTTATTTTCCTGAATTTACGCGAGACACGTTTAATGGATTTCAAGTACCTCGCAGTTCCTCTGCAGATCCCCGCCAGATACGTCTCCGTTTTATATCACAGATATCGGTGCATTCCACTGCAAATTGCGATGTAAGCTGTAGTGTAAAGGTCAAAATAGCAGAGCGATAAATCGGAAATTCATTGCTACGCAATTGCACACGATAGTTTTTTTCCCCGTCGCACCCCCGTCGTATTGTTCAGTTTGGTTGAAAAATCGTTTGCTTGAAAAAGAAACCAGATTTATTCAGCCCGCGTCCAAATGTGGCGTATGAATAGACAAGGAGAGAGAAAAATATTTCCGTGATTTTTTGCTGACGCAAATGAATCTGCAACTTGGCAGGCGACGTCCAACGTGCGATTTCCGGCGTACGGGAACGCTCCACGTTCATTGGCCGATAATACTAGAATCGATCCACATGTACGAAAAGTTTACAGCCATATTGCAGAACGAATAATCTCACAAGTCGGAATTATTGATTTGAGTAATCAATTGATGGCAGAATGACGCCTATAGATATGCGTAATCAGCGATCGATCGAGCTGAATGATGCGTACATGAATAACTAACAATCCATAATAGCGATTCGTACACACATCCACGTTTCGTCATTTTCCCCGGATGCAAGTTACATTATTCCGAGATGTTTTTCATTGCCACTGGCAGTATGCCGAGCATAAGTAACGATCGAGCATCAACGTGCCACGTAGGTCGCGTTTCCTCCGGCACTTTTGTTCGTCCCGTTCGCCTAGCTCTCTTATTATTATTAGGAACGTGAGGAACAGTCGTCTTTTGCTGCCATTATGTAAGCACTATGCAGTTTTATGCTTTTCACGGGATGCCAACCACGAAATTCTACTAGACAAATTGATGTATTTTTCACGGTGCTCTTCGCCTTTCGAGATATATAGCTTAATGTACGCGATATTAGGAATACGACGCTATATATAAAAGATACTGCAGGTATTAACTACGAAATAATTACGCTTGTAAAATTGCGCTGGCTCGGATCTGGTCACGGCGCGTTGCCTCTGCTAATTATCCATGTAACGAACAAATTAAAGTCGTATCCAAAGCGATCCCAAAGCAAACGTGCGGAGCAGTGCAATGTCTGGTTCTGAAAAATAACTGAATGGGGTTGTAATTGCTGGACGAGGTGAATGAGGAAATTAACTCGAACTGCGGTGAATAAAGAGAAGCAATGTCCCGAGCCAAGTAATTTTAGAAAAAAAAGTCGTATCATTTTGGTTATCTTTCCTATGTGTGTATGTAGCTGATTATTTTAATAATATTCGACAATTTTATAATTACATTACTACGTTTATTTTTTATTACATTCCATTTTTCGATTGTTATTTACCTGTATATACCCTTAGCAGCAAACAGTCATCTTGTAGAAAATTGTCGTTCAATCTTGAAGACAAATATGTTTTCGAGATAAGATTTCGAAATAATAAATACAGATAGTTATATTAATATAAAGACAAGTTGCGAGTCATATTATTTGCGTTATTCTGATAAAAAAATCATAAAATTGCAGCAGTCTCTGTTATTTTCTGTAACTCAGCCTTCTTCATCGTTCCTTTGTCACCGATCTAAACTTACTCGCCGGTTGCATTTCAAAGGAAGAATGAGATGAGAGAATTCTATGGTGGGCACACAAGGAATACAACTGCAACTGTCACTCGTTAAATATACGTTCTGCGTATCACTCAGAAAACGAGTACTTACGAAAAGAAGTTTCTTACTCGCAAAAAGCGCGCATCGACTTCCTACGTCGAGGCGAATCGGCTGAATCGCAGACTTTCCTTTTTAGCGTCGTAGACAGTCAGTCGGTCCCATGCGGAAGCGAATTGCCCCGTTGTGTTTTGTACAATACCGCGTTTTGGAACCACTTTAAATTTTGGCAGACTCGACTGTTTCTCGCGCAACTTCCACGATCGTGAAACTTAGGAATAAAAGACATTGCGTATTTTCGACGAAAAGCAGTGAGGGAGATTCCTTTATGCGATGCAATGCGCTTTGTGCCACGCGTGACGATTATGCACTATCATTCTCTTTCCGTTTTGGCATAAAATAGCTGATTTTATGAAAATGTTAAATCAATATTTATTGAATTAGATAATTTTTTAGATTTGATAGCTTTAAAACGTGCTATTCTGTTATCTTGCATATTTTTCACATAGAGAACAGTTACAAATTTTTAATGAATTTATTTACAATGAAATATAACTTATTGTTAGAACTTACTTCATTTCATATTAATTTTTTCTCGCGTAAAGTTCAGTAGAAAATTAGATGTAGCTTTTTGCAGATATTATTATAAAGTAATC